ACAGGGATTTTTTCAAAGAACAATTTTTCTCAGAATTCTTCACAACATATATAAATCGACTCAGTTTTTGCAGTACACATAACAATCGAATGTAAATCCGATGTTTCCGCATTTATTTTAAATTTAATTTGAATTTAGCAAGCCTGTTCAACGAGCACAAGCCGAAGTTTTGTTCTCATGATATTCACATTACGACAGACTACGTGAATCTGGTGCTTTGTATTACATTCAATATACAAAAAAGCTCACAACAGGCTACTTTAAATTACTTCACAACTTAAGAATATAATTTCATTATAAAAGACTAATAAATTCAAGATAAAATACAAATTCACTTCATACGTAGTGCATATAACCTTTCAAATATTTATGATCTTAATATCTTTAATTATCAAACGAAAACAAATTTCATTGAGCACTTATACAAAATGAAACAAGGAAAATGATGCCACAAAAATGTTGCTTTGAAATAATTTTAGACCAATCACACACAGAATTATTTTTTATAAAAAAAAAGTGATTTACATAAATGTTTCTAAGCCAGCCCATGATCGGCCAAGTATATCCACGTCTGTTGCTTGATCAATAATACAATCAATTTGTTCATCAACAGTCAATTTATGATGACGACTTGAATTATATTGTAATAAAATTTGCGCACGTTTAGTTTCTATTCGATCGCCAGCAACTACTTTTTCCATTCGACGACGTGCTTCTTTCAAATTCGATGAACGAAGAAAATTATTTAATTTCAAATCAGACCTTAAACACGAAAATAAAATTCATAAATAATCTATTTTCTACAGTTAACTATTGATTCATACCCAGTTATAACTGCAGGATTAATTCCATTAAGTTTTAAACGTGCACTTTTGATTCGATCTTTTGCATAGGTATCATCTGAATCTACTATATTTGTTTCTAAAATAAAATTCATCATTCCGAGAAATAAAACTAATGATCATGTGTATTTCATTGACATACCATTTTGTGCTACTTGCTTACTTGTTCTAAGAGCATGTTCCTACATTAAAATAAATTTAGATATAGTTACGTTTCTATTGTATGAATAAAAAATGTAAAGCCTACCATCCATTCCATTAATGGTTCTTTGATAAATACATCCATGGTACTGAGCAAAAGATCCGAATTTTCTCGTAATGCATTCATTGTTTGAATCATTGTGGCACGAAATAGACCGGCTGTACCGACCGGTGACATCAATTGTGTTAGTTGTCGTGTCAAACGTATTGGTATTAATTCTGGCACAGGTAAATGCTAAATGATTAAAACAAATTTCTTTTCTTTTTCTTCTATTTGATAATATGCTTTTCAACTTACAATCGTAGCTGCATTGAATGCTGAACCGAAGTCAATACCAATTATTTGACCAGATGTTGTATCGATCAAGAAACTAAATAAAAGCGTTTAATGAAATAAACGTGAACTCGATTCTGAAAAGAAAAAGATGAAACATACTTCGATTGATGCCGATCTCCAATGCCAAGTATATATTGACTTGTACATAAAACAGCATAACTAGTAATAAATTGTCGGCGTAATGTATAAAAGCCTTCATGTGAATTAGCTATTTTATAATAGGCACGTCGCAGTAAATCAGCAGGTACAACTGATTGTATACGATTGAATTCTTCTCGCACTTGATCTTTTGTTAGACTAAGAAAAAGTTCAGCGTACATCAGAGTGTTATTCGCTGTTTTCGCTGCGGGTTTTGCTGTTTGATATGTAGTTGTTACGTAATCTTGATAGAGTTTTCTTGGATGTTGACCTTGATTTGTTATTACATCAAGTTCTTGGCTATTGTAAGATTCTTCGATTAGATCTTTTAATGGACGTGTATTGTCAAGCCATTCGATCATACCCAATTTGGATGACATTGGAATAACTGAAATAAACATAGAAATCATTGTTCAATTCTATGAAATAAATCCATTGACTAGATCCATAAAAGATACAAGTGTTTAGTGTCTTACGTATTTGAAATCTCTTAGCGAACTCCATGCAAAGTCTGTTATTTTCATTGCTCAACTTTCGAATTCTATGTTCTGAAGATCATTTTTTTTCTCTTTCTTTAATTTACCTTTGTAAGTTCGTACAGCAATATGAGCGGAATTCGATTGGTTGCAATTTGGATCATTATCATAAAGATCATTCATAATCGAAAATAAAGCTTCGATACGTTGATCTTGTCGTATATCTTCTCCTGCTTTAACTAAAAATCTATAATCGTTTTCATCATTTCCACGTATAGTTATTCGTTTTGGCAATCGTAATGAATGAAGTACCAAAAGTTTTTCGTCAAAACCAACTATTTTAATGTGATGTTCCATCAACGGTTTCTTTTTACTTGAATATTGACCGGGTATTTCTAATTCGCGTATAGATGATTTATCTAATATACGATTTTGTTGTTGAAATGTTGACGAAAACCATGTTGAATAATCATTTATATTTGATTTATCTTGTATAATAGTTTTTAATTTCAATGAAATATTTCCTAATACTAAACGCGCATCGCCTAATGATACTGTTGAAAATAATTCGCCATCTCTACCAAATAAATCATTAAATTCTTTTTCAACAGTGTTTTTAAATAATATTCTGATCGATGTTATCTTAGATTTAGATGATGTATTATCATTTTCATTACTATTCAAACTTTCTTGTGTATTCACTAGTATGTATTGGTTATCGTTAGTTTCATCGAGATTGACACAATTCGACAACAGTATTTCGTTTAATTTCCTCAAATGTGATTTAAGTTTATCGATATCTCTTGTGCTTGGATCATTTGTCAATAAATGAAAGAGTTCTTTTGACCATGCATCAAATTGTTGTTGAGGATTCAATTGATTTAATGCCTCGATAAATTCATTCACCAGGGGTGTATAACGATTTAATTTTTCATGGATAGAATCAAGATTATGTTTAAGTATTGGATCTGTTATGGAATTTTGTAATGTTTCATAACTTAATTTAAATGGATATACAATGGATTGTGGATAGAGTTGTACAATTTGCTCAATCAATGGGTATAGTTTCAGCCTTAAAAACAAAATAGCAATATAAATATTTCTTGTAATATAAACTTATTTTAAATCTCGCCAATGAAAAGTCATACTACAGTAGTTATAGAAAGAATCAATCGAGATAATTTGAATCTTTTTGTGTACTCAAAAAGTGAGTACACTCTAGATTCAGTCAGTGTGTCCGTCCGTTAACACGATAACTCTTGAAAGCCTCATCCAATTGTCATGAAATTTTGTACGCAGAATGATCTCATCAATATCTCGGTCGAGCTCGAAGATGAGAAGGATCCGTCAAGAAATGGCTGAGTTATCGAAAAAATTGTCAGTATTGACCAAACCATCCCTGAGGGGGAGTACAGGGATTTTTTCCAAAGAACAGTTTTTCTCATAATTATTCACAACATATATAAATCGACTCAGTTTTTGAAGCACACATAACAATCGGATGCAAATCCGATGTTTCCACATTTGTTTTGTCTTTATTTAATGAATATAGAAGTTGATTTCAAGTGACTTACGCAATTGGTTTATCTAAATGTGCGGTTATTTGATATAGACAATCAAAAAACATCCAACAAGGAATTTCTTGTAATTTATCAGCAATCAAATCCATTGTGTCTGGGTATAAATCAACAATTTGTAATAAACGCGAAAAACGTTTAACACCTTCATTGGAACCATATTTCATTGATAACAAGACGGATTTAACAACTAATTTAGCGATATCATTTCCATGACCACCAGTAAATAAATTGGCCATTAAATTATTTTCATCTTCATTATTTTCATATCGACGTAGATAATCATCGCAAACACTTGCTAATTCATTATAATCACGACTAAGAATATTTTCTTTTGCTTGACGAATAGATATCTAAATAATTTTTCTTGATATATATTATCGAAGGATATTGATGCAACTATCTCCATCTTAGTAATAAGCAATGAAACTGTGATCAAAGGATACATTTCTATGCACAAAATGACAGCAGACTCTTACTGATCAATTATCCTCACGGAACAACTATTATGAGTTTTATATTTTCAGTTCCAAATATATTTTATTGGGGAAAAAGTTTTCTTCAAAACTTACTGAAAGACTTTGTAAATCTGTTTCTTGTTTTTCAATATTATCTTTTAATATATTAACACATTTATTAAATAGCTCATAGATTAAGCAATCTGCTTGTTGAATTTGTTGACTATTATTTTCTAATCCATATAAAAACATTTCTAATTGTTTTTGTTTTGCTTGTGGAATTTTTTCATCATGTTCATAATTATGATAAGCTTGTGGATGCGCAAGAAGAAAATCAATAACTGTTCGACAAAATTGTGAATTTAATTGAATATAAGTTGAATTTAATTGTGCTGTTTGTTGATCAATAATTTTTAATGAATATATTTTTATTTCCATTTTTTTCAATTCTTTCGCAACACTTGTTGACAATAAACTAGATAGAGTTGATGTCGACGATTGAATTTGATGACGTTTTAAATGTACATCACAATAGATTTCATTCCAATAGATCGATTTTATTAATGGATTTTGACATAAATCAAGACGATTACGTGTTTCATTTAATTTTGTTAAAGCTAATTTAAAATTACGTTGACGCAACGCACAATAGGACATATCAAGTAACGATTGAACTTTATAATCAACTAATAATGGATCGAATTCAGTTGCTTTTAATCGACTAGTAAATGTCATTCGTGGCCCGCCAATTAATTCATCGAGAATCTAAAGTTAAATTCTATTAATTTTAATTCCGATTTTTTTTATAGGAAGTTTCTTTCGTCAGATTAAATAACTCATATTCGATAATCTCGGGGTTTTTCCTAATAAAAATGTTCTATAGCTAATATGGATACATACATCTAAAAATAGTGATCGATTTGTAACAATATCATCCCATGTTTGAACTGAACTACGTATAACATCGGGTAGTTGCCATTGTGATAATAGATCATTATGTACACGTTCGAGAAATAGATCACGTGTCGTAGTATCACTTTTGTTGTTTGTTAAATAACGATTTTCAAGAGATTTTAATAATGGTAAATTTTGTTCGATAAACACAAGAAATTGATCGAGCTCATAATATGGTTGAATCAATTGAATAGTTGTTTTACGGCCATATTCACTCAAACGACTTAATGTCGACCAACGAAGTAAAAATTGTTCTTTAGCATATTGAATATAATATTTTGCACCTGAAAAATTTCATTCAAATAAATGTTTTTTTTGTGTGCTCAAAAAAAGTGAGTATACTCTAGATACGGAAAGTACGTCCGTCCGGCCGTTAGCACGATAACTTTTGAAAGCCTCATCCAATTGCCATGAAATTTTGTACACAGAATGGTCTCATCAATATCTCAGTCGAGTTCGAAGATGAGAAGGATCCGTCAAGAATTCGCTGAGTTATCGAAAAAATTGTCATTATTGACCAGACCATCCCTGAGGGGGAGTACAGGGATTTTTTCCAAAGAACAGTTTTTCTCATAATTATTCACAACATATATAAATCGACTCAGTTTTTTGCAGTACACATAACAATCGGATGCGAATCCGATGTTTTCTCATTTATTAATGATTATAGAAGGTATGTACATAAAAACAGTTCTATTCTCTAGCTTAAAATACAGCAATCATTTCAAATATTAGCTAGCCGCCTGAAAAATAATTTACATGACACAAAAGGGCATAAATCAAGATTATAGGATCCTATTAGTTGTCCGTTTAAATAACACCAGATCACTCTGAAATATCCGATCTGTTCAATAGATACTTACGATCGAAATCTTTTTGATAAAGAAAAAATGTTGCTAATTCAAATGGATATTGTTTTTCAATGTAAGATCGTTTAACAAATGTTGTCTCTACATTGGCCGTTGCAACTGTATTATTTGAATTTGTTGATAAATTATTAAAGAATTGACAAAGATCATCTTGTTCCAATTGTTCTTTTTCATTGCCTGATATAAGTAATTTAAGTTTGGCACGTATAGCATACGGCATTAAATAATTCAATTGATGCGCATTGGACCACAAAGTATCGAATGTTGTATTATCGATAAATATATGTTTCGACATAATAGTCCAATTATTCAATTGATTACAACAATTTAACATTGATTGTGTCCAAAATTCATGTTCTAATTCTAATATCGGATCATTTGCTGTTTCGTCAGTTAATGGATATTGTTCTAATGCTGTTACATAACTATTTAAAGCTAATAAAAAATCTGCATGACTTTCTTCTTCAATAGCACGTAGTGTTATAGACTTCAGGCCAGGTGTTTGAGAAAAAATACCTCGTACATCGTCATAATTAGCCAAGGAACGGTAGCATTTCGCTAATTCAAGCCATTGATCAATTTTCTTATACAATTGATTATTTAAATCTGGATCAGATTTTAATTTCTTTTTTAATGGTCCAAAAGTATTTAGTTGAGACTCATTCATTTGATTTAAACGTATAAAACATTCGATTGTTAATATGCCGACTGATTCTAGATGACTTGCTATTGTTGACGCGCTGATATATTGTGCTGATATTTGTATTTGTTCTGGTTTCGATAGAACAATATCAAGTATGGCAGCGACAAATGATGGATAGAAAATTTCCGATTGCGATAGCATAACATCAAAGCGATGTTGAATTGTATTTATTATTGTATAATATTCATCGGGCGATAATTTATCTTCTAGTGCATTTAATATGGATGTAAATAGACTTGCATATAAAAGTCGTGCTATATGATTATCATATTGAGCAAGAGCTTGAAGAGGAATAATGATATCACTATAACGAATTTGTATATCGGGCAGTTCACCAATACGATATGTACGATATTTTTCGACTTGATTTTCTTGTTTTAGTTTAATTTCATTTAAAAATTGTTTTTCATCTTCTTTTTTTTCATTTTGCCTTCGAGCAAAATAAGCAGCTAAAAAACGGTGAAAAACATTAGACTAACGCATCTATGGGTATCATCTTATAGAGTTCAGAATTCTCAATGGCATGACCTATGATTACCGGATAATTCTTAACAATAGTAATCGAAACTTTAATGATTAGAGTCAAAATTTTCTAAATACTTTGCTATACAACACATTAGTTTGTATGGAATTCTATTTCAATGATTGATTATCTTACCATGCAATTGTCCTGAATCTTTAAGAAATCTTCTTTTAAGTCTAAAAATATCATCATCTTGTTCATCGTATTGATTTTGTGTATTAGATTGTGCATTTATTTTCGGTTTTTTATTTGTATTATCAACATCGACAATTAATGAAGTTGTTTTTTTTGTTTGCGTTCCTAATGTTGGCAAAGCAAATGTATTTATTGAATCTAATGTGCTTGTTTGTTTAAGCCAATTATAACTTCCATTATTATTGTCTAACATTTGTGTCGGAAGAAATTGTTGTCTACCTGACATTTCTTGTGTTTGTAAAATCATAGGCGATGGGGAATTTGTAGTTGACTGTTGTTGATCTGGATTATTATTATTGTCGCTCAATGTTTGCATAAATTGAACAGGATCCATCGTCATTAAATTTGTTGCCGTTGATACGGATGGATCGATCATTGATTGTGATTGTAATGTAAATAACGGCATCATATACGTATGGTGACGTTGACGCCAATTACAGGCTAATGGAAATTCTTGAAATAGACATTTATCAAGTGGATTTTCAAATATAAAATGATTATAATCAGGACTATGTGTTGTGCGTTCGAGAAGAAAATTTGTACAATAATTTAAATATTCATTTTCAGTTTTAATTGAATATAATTGATCCACCAATGCAAGAAGACGATGTTGAGATGATGTACTTAAACGTTTTGCATCACACCAAAAATTTCGACAATTAACACGGATAAATTCATTTTTACTCGATAATAATTGAAGTAGCTGTTCACGTACATGATGATAGAACATTTCCGACAAGGGTGTTATTGATGTTTTCATTGCTTTTGTTAAATAATTTGTAATATAATCATACATCCATTTATAAATTTCAAGTGTCCAAATTTGACATTCATTCGGACCATCAACGAATAATATTTGGGCTATTTCATATAATTGTTCATGCGTTAATTTCGGTAAGAGTTTATGTAATAGACGTAGAGCAACACCACGAATACCAAAATCTCTGAAAAAACAAGTGTGACAATTGAACTGAGAAGATATGTAGAATACGCTTTTCAATATGGGACAGAGCGGCTAACAGGCTTTATGTATGGGTTATGCTTGGAAACTCTAGAAATCTAATCTTTGTACGCATTTAGAAGTCATAGGGAATTTATCAAGAATAGCTGCTATTTGAAACTCTTTAGTTCATTTTAAAAACAAGAATTACTTATGAATCAGAATATCTAATATTCCAGCCGCTCGTAATTCCATATATGCTGAATCGAATTCTGTAATATTTGCAATCAATGATTCTAAACATTCAATTTTGATATCACCATACATCTTCTTCAAACCAAATATCAATTTGTTCATCACACTAAAAATAAAATTGAAATTGACATTTTTGATTTCTAATCAATCTTTTCTTACGTTTTCTCAACAATTGCTGGATAATGTTTTTGTATTGAATAAATACATGTCACATAGGTATCGGATAAACCTTGACTATTGTGCCATTTTAATATAAGACTTAGCTGTTCTAATAAACGTTGAGTAGATTCGCTTTTTACTCTTTTAACATTTAACAACATTCCAATAACTTCGGCAGCTGCTGCATAAATATTTCTATAAGTATTTTTCATATTTTTTAAAATCGTATCATTAAATTTGTCTTCGGTTAAATCATTTGGTACGGTTGATATCGAAGATCCAGTTGTTACCGGAGGAAGATTTCCAACGGGTGCCGGTGCTACATAATAGGGTAGAATTTCGTTAGCTAATAAAATTCCAACTAGTGAAAGACCAATTGCATTTTGTTTTGACTTTAAATCTGGTTCCGATATTAATTTATATAGAATAACCGTTGGCGAATGTACACGTTCTTTCCAACATTCAATTAATTTTTTAATTAAATCTAAATTCGATTTCATCACGATTGGATTACGATGAGAACAATTTGAAAATAAATGCTCAATAAGACGTTGTACAGCAATTGAATCAAGTTCACTTGGTATTGCTTGTTTATGCCATGACAATAAGATAACGATTGTATCAATAATAAATGTATTTAAACCTTCGGATGAATTTTCAAACATTTGATTACACATTTGAATTATTGGTGTTAACCAATAGCGTGCATAGGGTTTAAAGATTGTATGTGTATGTATAATAAGACGCATGAGAAATAATTTTATATTAAATGATATAAGTGGATCACTAAATTTTTTATATACACAAATCATCCAAAGAGGCATTTCGGATGAATGAGAAAAATTGTCATTGATTGGAATTATTCCATTTGTTTCCATATGTTTTAATAGACAAACCATAGGTACCATGCAGGGATGTAAATTAAGTTCATCCATTTCCATGTCGATAAATTCTGAACCAATTTCATCATCGGACCCTTCGATTAAAGCAGGTTTATCATCATCGAGCTTTTTTTGATTCAACAAATTGGTTGAAGTATTATCTGATAAGGAACTTGAGAGACTTTTGCTTAAGTCGTTGTGTTGTTGGTTGACAGCAGCTGATGTAAAATCGAAAACAGCTAATTCATCAGTAAGACTACTACCGAATAAATATTGTGATGATAAATAACGTGGTGTGCTGGATAGACGTTGTTGATGTGATGGATTATCAGATTTTGATGTTGTTAAGATTTTCTTACATAATATATTCAACAATGTACGTTTATCTTTCTTGTAATAACGTTCAAGTTCAAGAGGAAATGTATATTTCTGTTCGGAATCGATTAAATTTTCAAATACATATTCATCCTAAAATAGAAGAAAACAAACGTTTTGATAGTGCACGCTTTTTATAATATTAGTTCACATGACGATGGAAGTTATTCGCAGGATTCAGAGCGCTTCAAAGGACTTATGATTAAACTAAAAAGTGTTTGTGCACTCACGATGGAAGGTCAGAAAGTGTTCAATCGCTTTTGCGTTGGAACTGCTTACATTATGTAGCTCCCAAGGAAGTATGAATACGCTGAAAATATTTTGGGCAGATAGCTTATTGTTACGAAAATAGACCATTTCTAAGGTATGGGTTTTAGTGAGAGCCTGGGATCCTCCTCAGAAACATTAAAAAAATTGATTTTCGAATTTCAACTTGAAACTTTACATAGAAAGACGCCCTAAGGAGGACAACTTTTTGTGAACATTTCAGACCTTTCTACGTTTCCTATTACTAGACACAGTTATTGTGAAATTTTTATTTTACATCTTTCAAATAAAGCGGCAGATTTTATGAAAAAAACAAATTCAATGGCCAAAAACATTCATAAAACACTATTCTCGTTGAGCTCTATTGTTATATAAAACTTCAAATCAAAATTCGAAAATCGATTTTTCTAATGTTCCTGAGGGGGAGTACGGCACTCACAAAACAATGCCATAAAAATGGTCTATTTTCGTAGCAGCAAGCTATCCGCCCAAAATATTTTCAGCGTATTCATAACTCCTTGGGAGCTACACAAAACATGAATTTCAACGAAAAAGCGATTGAACACTTGGTGGTCTTCCCTCGTCAGCAGAATGAAGACTGTGATATTTCCTAGAATACAACTATACGAATATTGCTTATACATATATATATATATAGACGGACTTGATATTTACGTTTTATATCAAAGAAATTTACAAATAAGCCAATCTGGTTAAGACTTGCTTCCGTGCAAAATATTAAATCATAGTTCGAAAACTAACCCCACTACAAAATTGATAGATATCAATTGTATGAATATTTTTATTTAGTTGAAATTTACGTCTATCGTCAAAACGCACGAGAAATCAATCGATTGCAAATATATCTATACGAATCGATGCGAGTGTAGGATAACGTCTGGTCTTCGCCAGATTCTATCCACCTTCTTGATCTCGGACTCGTTAGCATTTACAGAACCTTATAAGATCGCTAAAAGAAAAATTAAGCCTTGTTCCTCTCGGAAACTTCTCTTAGGAATCATTGATTTACCTTGGCTGGATTTGCATCAAAAATAAAAGCTTTATAAAGTTTTGCTTCTGTTTGTGTACAAATAAGCAGTGAAATTAGACAATTGAATGAGCTTGCTGCTAAAGCTCGTGTTAAATTTAATTTAATCTGTTTTTCATTTGTATTAACTCCAGCTAAAATCAATTCCATAGATTTCATTAATTTTCCATCTACAAATTGACCTCGAGATCGTGTTATAACGTGTTTAGTTAATTCTTTTCCATCGAATATTGGTCCGACTTTAATTGCTGATATTGGCAGTTCGACATTGAGAATTTTTCTTGCTTCTTCTTGTTTTTTAATATGTTCATAGAAAGTTTTTGCTATCAGAGAATTTAAACCAAATATGTCATCTTTATTTAATATTGTATACATATGATCAATTAAACGATATGTACAAACTTTATTGATCAGAATAGATATTAATGCTTGCGATGATAAATCAATTTTAACATCAAGTTCATCAATAACCAATGTACATACATATTTTTTATAGAATTCAATCAATGTTATTTTCCGTACGGATGTTAAAATTTTTAATATTAACTTTTCTAATGCATTTAAACGATGTTCAGTGCGGAATAAAGAATTTTTACCGAATATAATTGAATAAACGTAATCAAGCAGATTTGTTTGTTTAACATGATTATTTAAATTAATAACAAAACGACTTATGGAGAAAAGAATCTCTTCTTCAAATGCATGATGTTGTTCACAACATAACATCCATATTAATAATTCAAGTAAGATAAACGATGATGATAATTCAAGGGCTGAGAGAATTTTTCTTATAGCCGCTTGAAAATCATGATATTCTTGGGTGCCAACCGAGAATTCTGTACTTTTCAATGGAAAACAATCAGATGTAAATTGACGTAATGTACGACATAGATCATTGGACCATTTTTTACGTTTTTCTTCAGATAAACTTTCATCTAAATCAATCGAAGCAAAAAATGCTAATAAATCAAGTAAACGTATTTTAAACGTTAAGTTTAATTGTTTATCAGTTAATAATAATAAATACATTTGAGATATATTATTGAATTGTTCATGTAAAATTAATTGATGACTATCAATAATGAAAGTTTTTGTTAATAATGTTACAATTAATAATTTATCATCGACATTTGTTGAATAGTACAGTGAAGAAAATTGTGGCCAACATGTATAGATACCATCGATAAATTGTGGGCCATACTTTTGACGAATATCTTTTTCTCGGCTGCACAAATCAAGAACAGTACTTAAAAATGTAGCCGCTGGACGACATTGTTCAATTGTATTTGTTTCACCGACATTGTCCGTTATGAAATGAGGAGTTGTACCGAGCCAACTTGTGATTTGATGTTTAAATAATGTTAATAAATAAGTACCAATGGTTGTCATACCGGAGTCCGTGTGGATACGATTTGATTGAAAAAAATGTGGTAAAACTTCAGTCGGCTATAAAAAGAAAAGGAACTATAATTCTCGTATTCGATCTAGAAAAAGAATGAACAAAAAGGATTCCTTGCTCTTTCGCGTGAGACCTAAATTTGATGGCTGTAGAAACGTTGAACATCAGTCCGTTGAATTTTCGAAAAAGAGATCTGGATGAAATCTGTAGACTTTGAGAGAAAAAAGATATTAGTTTACCTTAATGCCTAAATAAATGATATAATCAAACAGCGATTGTAAGCCACGTTGAGTATCAACAGTTAGAACAAGATTGGCTTTATCAAAATCTTCTTCGTGATTAATCATTTTCTACAAGTTAATAGTTATGTTTTACAAATAGTGAAAATGAAATTCATACCGCTAGCATTGTCATCCATAATTCTTTTGCGTATTGATCAGGTTCTTGAGGTCTAGGCAATAATCGTACATCGTGTAGAAGACGAAGACCACGAGTGATAGTAAATATTAATGGCCATTGAATTGGATTTTGATCAAGTTGTTTCGTCACACTGTAAAGTCTAAAATTGTATTCGAAGTTTTTATTAGTGATACTGTTGTTTTCTTTTTCAAAGTCCACTATTGATTCAACTCCTGAACAATTATTTGATCTGTATCAACTCTTTCAATCAATTGTTAATTCTTATTTTCATTCTAGAATCGCTTTGTTTAATGCACGACAGAAAAAGTTATTGCATGAACATCATCTCGCATGGATACGTACCCATCAGTTTTCGTCATTTTCAATGCAATATCATAGAATGATTGTAATAATTGATCAGGTAAATGAGTAGTCATTGATTTAAGTAAACTACGAATCTAAAGATTTATTTTCGTTAAATTTTAATTCAATCGAATTCTATTTTCTAACATACTCTTTCCGGTAATTTCTTGTTAATCTCTTCATTATTAATGTCAAATCCGAGTTGTGTAGGATTGAATACACAAGTTAAAATTAATGTTGTTAAATCATTATTATAAAAAGAACTATCGATTGCTCGTAGTGTATCTTGTGGATATTTACTCCAAAGTGCAGTAATAAAATTCAATAAACGAACAATAACTGTACACTTCGCCCTATACACAAAAAAAGAAAACTCAAATCACAACGATCGATTATCTTTTTTTAATTATTTACGTTTCAAATTGACTAATATCAGTCGGCGTAAATACATGTGTTTGAGTCGACGGTGGAAAATAAGTAACGATATTATACAACGTACTCATAGACACTTTTGTTATAAAATATAATAATGCAACAATGAGATGACTTTGTTGGTGATTGTCTAAAAATTAAAACAAATAATATAATCTCTAGTTTTAAACACGAAAAATCTCATATTCGTATTAATTCGCATTTAGGATTAATACGGCGTCTCTAAACTCACCTTGAAATAGAAGAGGATTGAGATATCCTTGTGAAAATGCCCAAGTATAACAATCTAACGAAGCAATGACAGTATCAAGCCATTGATAAACTGTTGGAATTGAAAATTGTTCAGTCATATCAGTTAGACACGGTTGATTAGCTAGATTAGCTTTGAATTTTGTCTTGTTTTCTTTATTCAATGATCCTTCAAATCTAAAATATAAATCTCTCATTCGACACATACAAGAATCGCCTTCAAGTTTTGCGTTACCTCTCAATAAAATAAACATTTCCGTCAGATTTCACTTTCAAATCAAAATATTCTCTAATTGACCGAACTCCTATTTAAAAGAAGCAACATGCATCAAACCAACTTGTTTCTATAAGACAAAAACTTTCCTACCGGGTAGCAATGGAATAAATGTACAAACAAGTTCAATACATTTTCTTCTTGATTCAGTTTCAATTCTTCCGCATTGCCGAAGTAACCATCGAACAGCAATTTCAAGTGTTGCTTCAGTCCATGATCTAAATAGAATAATTTTCTTCGAAGAAAAGTCTAAACAAAAAACTAATATTTACGGTGGACGATGTCGTTTTGGTGTTTCTTTAATAAATACACTCGATTTTTCTTTTATAATTCTCTGTACATGTGATAAAGCTCCTATGGCTTGTTGTTGAGTACCTATAGAAACGAAAACAAATATAAGTCACAGAATTAAAATTAAACAAAGAAATCTTACCAAGCGATGGATCATCTCCTTGAGCAATAGCTAAACTTTCAACAAAAACATAAAGTAATTGAAATGTATAAACATCTATCAACGTTTCCGATTCACTAAAATGATATTGATAAAAATTCTTTCTTTGCTAAATCCAAAATCTTTTCCCATACCGAAAAAGTGTATATATTGAATTCCATGCTAATGCCGAACCAAGTCTTTTGAAAGTATTCGGATGCATTGAAAAACTAAGAATACGCTTAAGAATCGATGTAGCATTTTTTAAATAGGCAGGTTTATCAAAGCCACCAGCATGTTTAACAGCCCATTTAAGAAATTCTTTCAGACAAACACCACTAAAATCTCGGATCGATGCATTACGTCCAGATATCATGCCGTCCTACAACGAGAAAATTTCGATAATGAATGCGTGAGATAAATTTCAAACCATAAATGTATCAAGCATTGACATTGTTTCAGGATTTTCATAGTTTTGATTCTTAGTAAACCAATGTATTATTTGAATCATAAATGTGGTAAAGAGTGTTTTTGTAAACTAAAGATTTAATAGAAATATTTCTTTTTGTTTTAGAGAATTCAAATTAAATTCTATTACTGTATCAGAATCACAGGAAAGTTCAAGTACAGCTGGAAATAAACGAGCATAGAGTTTTTCATAGGAAGCCTAAATTAAAATCAATGGATCAGTTTTCTTTTTTGCACGGTAAAGGAAAACGTACTGCTGCATTGCTTCGATTATTTGCGCTCTTTCCAATCATATACAGCATTATTGATTGAAGCAATTCACACGCTGTTATTTTCGTTTGACGATCCGAACAATGTGATGCTAAATCGATAATACGAGGAAGAAAAATATCTAAAGAAAAAAAAAACACACGACATCAAAGCACCGATTGAATTAAAATGTCTTTTGTTTTTACCTAGATGTATTGTTGGTTTGATATCATCAAAAGGAACATTAAATGTCAGATGATTTTCATTGTCCCATGCGACAGCTTCTTTTACTAAATAATTCGACGTATTGTCAATAAGATAATGATTTGTACGATTGCCTATTGAACCAAGATATTTTAATATACGAAATTGAACTCGACGAATATCACTATCTTCAAAAAGCTGTAAAAAAAGGTTTTCGTTAAGAGAATCTAATTTAATTATAATGAGTTTTATTGAAAGTAATGTTCAGACATCGAAATTGTGCGTGTATACGAACGAATGAAGAAACCGTTCATCTAAGAGATTAGTAGCATGAAAATTTTCACTTCTACGAGAGCTAGCCAATATCTTTTTAAACAGAAAAGTTGTTTCTCGTCAATTGGCAGTCGTGCTATCGCTATAAAGTCTAAGTGTCTCTGAGGGATTTAAAAATCAGAACCTACATGTTTGATTTGTTTTGCTTTTTTAAGCATTCTTGTTGGTAAGACATGTTTACTTCTCGAGCTCATACGTGTTTTTTCTTGTAGAGTTGATATAATAGCACGAACATTGACATCTTCACCTAAAATATTTAATCATTCTTGTAAGATCTATATACATGTATTCTTGATTATTTGTTACCTTGATCATGTGATAAACGGAGAAAATCATCAAGATAGGGCAATATTTGATCGTAATAATTCGATAAATTTAATGATGTTGATTGCGACCATCGTTCAAGACTATTAATTGTTTGTTCAGCTAGTGGTAAGTAAGTTAAACCAATACTTAAAGCAAGCTACACAAAAAGAAAAACAAAGTATTAAAACAGTTGTCTTTCAAATATATTTTGTCTTACTTGAATAGTCGGTACGTAATCCGCAAAATCATAATCAATGCATTCAGACGGTAATGATATAATAAATTGTAAACATGCTACAAGTAAATCATCGCGATATTGTTTTTGACGCGACAATACTTCGTGTGCAAATCGTCGAACCAATGTACAAACTGATGCTACTTGTTCGTTTTCATTGATGTCTATATCCATCATTTCAATACCTCCGCGTGTTGTTGGTACTAATCGATCAGACTATTTACAAAGTAATATCGAAAGTAAAAAAACGAAGTTTTCGGAGTTTTGTATTTACTTTGAAAAAATTTAATTTTAAGCATATGTTCATCACTAGCGTTGTAAATCGATATATTCCACTGACTAATGGATATCTACAGTAAAAAGAATGGGTTAAAGAAACGAATTCGAATAGAATTCGAGATTTACTTGGTTGAAGCAGATATTATTTCATATAAAAATCGAAAGATCCATTTTTGAAATAGATCAGGCGATTGTTCAGGTAATAAATCTCTGTAATAAAAAATTAATTTCATTAGCTGTAGCATCTTCAAACAAATAATTTATTCCCGAGAAAGTATCTTTACAACTTTTCCGCATCTCGTTGACGTAGAATTCTTTAAAATAATGATTTTTATTCTATATTATGGTCACGTACGAGCAACAACCTAATGCAATTTCTATCACGAGTTTTCTGTTGAAACTATTAAATGTTATCGAGAGATCGCTATTCATAGGATAACGTAAGTATCGCAAAATTAACTATTCTTGATCAATTTAAAGAGAGAACTTTGTGCTTACTGACAAAAATCGACAAGATTATAAAATATTTCAAAATCTTTAGGTTTCATAGGTTTCATTCCAAAAACTGGATCAGTTGTTGTTGTTCCATCATCGTTTTCATCCTAGATTCAAAAATTGAATTAAATTGAAGAAAACAATTGATTCTGTACTTTACCTCTGTTTTTTCTTTATCAACACTTAAATCAAGCCGATCGATAATATGTAAAATTGAATCAATCATTTCGTCGTATAAGGAAACAAGCATATTTTGTCGATCAAATATTGGATATGTACTTGTATCGAATTCTTTTAATGAAGTTACATTTAAGATTATTTTCCATAATGGAATATAATTTTCATAAGTGATGGTTTTTCCAATGGCAAGCAGAGATTTTGCCTGTTCTTCAGGTAGATCAGGTTCAACATCTTCTAATTGTTGTTCGACAGTTGATTTCAATGGATGTGAACAACAACGTATGATTGCTTGATTAACTAAAAATAAAGAGAGAGATGAAAAGAAAATATTTAAAATAATAGGAAAAAAGTTAACCGATTCGTGTTAAAAATGGTTTGTAACATGTTGGCTTAGTTTGTAAAGCTAAAATCATTTTAATAACTGATGAGCATGTTGTAGCTTGTGGTTTCGGTTGATAACGTGGATAATAATCGATTGTCATTACAGTTAAACGTTCAAGTGGACCAAGGAATTCTTCGCCAATCTGAGAAAAGCAAAAATTTTCGGTTCGTATTGAAAATTCATTTTTATTTAACCTACATTTGTCATTTCAATAATAATAGCAGAAAGTGCATCAAGCAAATTTGGCAATGCATAAAAACGTTCATCGAATACATCAGCAGCTTGCGATAGGGATATTGTTGGCATAGCTATTTGTTCACAGCGTTGAATTAAACCAACGAACATAAATTTAACATCTTCTTCAGTACCATAAAGTTTACAAGCCTATACGAAAAAACACCGCCCGTAAAAGCAAATCGTATTTTATGCATAACAAAAACGATAGGAAAGAAGTCTAACAATGGAGGGAATTTCCTGAAAAAGCGTTGGCTGTAATTGTTTTTGGTTCGAGAAGATTTTTTTTCAGATACATATATAATGAGGCGCACAAAATGCATTATTCACTTATTAGTTCAAAATATATCTGGCATGAATGACATTCACAAGAGGAAGCATTCGACTCGAGAAAAATGTCGAAAAGCAATACCAGATAGATATAGACACAATAGATTTGCAATCAGACCTAGTTATAATCAGCATCTCATAGTCTACCATTAATAATCCTAAACACCAGAATATGAAGTTCTAAACATTCCCGTAAATCTTACATTTGCAAAAATACCATAGCCACGAATACCCATTGCTAAATCTCGAATTTCTAATTCAGGCGAATCAATTTTATCTCGAAATTCTTTAATAAAATATTGAAATGTTTGTACAGCACGACGACGTTGTTCTTGTGTTTTAATATTCGGCTCTTTTAAAGCATTAGCAACCTAAATGTAAACAAAATATTGAGACTAAAATTTCGATGGAAATTATTACTCCAAGTAAAAATGTATCGTAGGCACGTTGAGCTATTTTTTTAACATCATAATTATCATGTATATTCCATGCACGAAGGCAACGAAGGATTTCAGGATAATCGTCATAGAGATATTCAGTAAATAAAGTTGAATGTTGTGCAAATAATTCCAGGCCAGCTAAAATTTTAATTTTTCATTTATTGTCGATAGAAAAAAATTTCTCATACCTTTAACTAATGCATATCGATTTAGATTAGTTTGATCTTGTGTTTGTATGGCACGCGATGCATAAATGTAGACACGTTTTAAATCTGATTCACATCGTATTTGTTCTTCTTTGATACGTTTCTCATCATCTTTACTTTTATTCCGAATTAATGTCGGTTGTACAACTATTGAAATCAGAATTGAATTAGCAATTGTTGTTTTTTTTTCTTTGTTAAATTTTACCTGATATTGCTGAAGGAACAAAATTAACAAGATAATAAATAAGACCTTCCATTGCTCCAGCAGCAATTAACATTTCAAATTTCACCACATCTCGAACGAGCTAAACATAACAAAATACCAAACTATTTATTTTGTCTTGATCTTTGCTATGTTTTTGTAGTATAGTTCATTTTTTTCTTTTAAAAATCTATGCACACTCGTACCCTCCTAGGTGAAATGTTATGTAAATTGTACTCAAAACGTAGTTTAGTTTTGGAACCATTTAGAGTCAATAGAATGCGAATAAACGAGTAAATTTGAAACTGTTCCTGTCTCTTCAGAAAGTTTATTTACGTACATGTTCATGTAAATATTTTAAATATTGTCCAATTAAAAGTGGATCTGAATATTTTCGCATATGTTCAGGAAAACATTTACATAATAAGCCCAGAAATGCCAAAGAAAGTCCTTTGACTAAAAATAAAGAGACAACGTCAATGAATCGTTTTTATTCTCCTTCTTATCAATTTACTTGTTGCTGTTGTTTTTGTACTTTGCAATCCAATAAGATCAATAAATGTTGTAGCCATTTTATCAATTTCACTTTCCATATCGGCAAAGCCAGCACTCAATTCGATTAACTAAAATTCCTATGATTGAAAAATAAAACCAATAGAGACAATGTTACCTGTGATAAAACTGGAAAAGTTCCAGCTCGTACATCCGATGCACTATCAACATTAAATATAATTAATAGTACTGTTTTAAGTTCAACAGCATATGGTAGAATTTTATTTGATGCGGATTCGACAAAAAATTTTAAGAATTGAAGTATTTCGATTTTAGTTCTTTTTAACTAGCGAAGAAAACAGAACAATTGTTTCAAGGCATAATCAATAGCGATTTTATTCTTACTTCAGGTTTTGAACTTGCACGTCGAAGAAATGTTAAAATATTTTTTTGTCCAGAAAATAATGCCGATAAACATATAGCTGATAGACAATGAAGATGATTACATTTTTTACGCGTAATTTAATTTAATTTACCTGTTTGCATTGGTGATGGATGCTCTGAGTAAGCTTGAGCAAGATCACCAATAAGTACAGCACATTGTTCGTCGACATCAGGAATTTCACGTAATCGATCAAGATTACCATGTAATTCTAATATGTAATTATCAAAATTTGAAGTCGCAGAAGCTTCAGTCATTTTTTCATACCGAAGACTAGTAAAAAGAAGTGTACTTTGAATTGCCCGCAAAAGAACAAAGGGCCTCTGCTGGACGAATAAGAAAACAAAGTACTGACATCTTTTGTTTGATTAATGAAATTTTAGAGGATATAACTAAGAAGAGAAATTTTCTTGTGAATGAATAATGTCGAAGCACATTTGAATAAGAGATTATTTTTAAGAGTGAAAACGTCAGAACTAAATGCCAAGAAAAATTCATTTTCAAGTTGTTCATACAACCAGTTCGGATGAACAACATCCGGCTAGTGAATTAAATCATCATGGACCATTAGTAAATGGATGGCAAAGTAGCCGATTTAGTATCTATCCACAAGAAATTATTTTGCAATTAGAAAATTATGTACGACTCCGACGAATTCAACTACTTTCACATCAATATTTAATTGGTTAGAAAAAATTCATTCGAAAAACTCTGATTAACTTGTGTCTTTTAGCTTCAAAAATAGAATTTTTCATGGGAGATTGTACATCTGACGAAAGTGTCACAATTGAAAATGCGCGGTATACTCGTCTTGGGTAAAACATGAAATTTAGCTACTATAAATTGGCTTGTTTTTCTAAATGAGAAACTCTTTTTGTTTTAAAGATATATCGAATTATCAAGTAATGAACGAACAGGTTTTAAAGCACGTGAACTTAAATCAATTCATATTGATGCCGAAGGCATATTTATCAAATTAGTTATACATAAAAATTATGCCAATCGATCGAATATGTATAATCAAGTAATATTAAAACTAGAACTGTAATTACAATTCTAGTCATTTCTTTCTTGTAGGTAAGCATTGTTGCAATCAATCTACTCGGTGATGATATTGACAAAGTATAAAAAACAAAAAAAACGTCGCATTATAATCTTTGAATGTAATGAATTTATATTTTTAGTCGATTGAAAATAGTGAAAATCAGTCAGAAGCAGCTGCAAACAAGTAGATAATAATAAAAAAATTTCCTCAAGTTCTAAAACAAAATAAACCTTAATTTCATGATAGTGCCAGATCGGATCAAATCTCAATTATTGATGATCTCGCATTTGCTATGTATCAAGATCGTGAAATAGCTGCTATTATTAAAAATTTAGATCGTAAAAAACAAGAATATGTTCATGGTAAAAACTGAATAAAATATTTTTTTGTTTTGGTTTTTAATATTTTACTCTTTACTTTCTAGATGAAAAATTTGAGCAAGCACGAAAATTTAAACAAGCTATCCAAGAATTAATCAAAGTATGTTAATTTATCGTGATTGTATTGGTGATTTCAGATTGGATTTAGGTTGGCGAACGACTGGCTCGTTATGAAGTTGAAAAACGACAAGCTATTGAAGTATGTCACAAATTTCTGTCGATTTATGATAATAAGAAACCATAGAGAAAAAAAAATGCAATTCAATCAGTTGTGATAACCTTAAAAATAGAAGTTTTTTTTCAACCCTCATAATTTTATTTAGAATGAAGATTATGAAACAGCGCAATCAAAAAAAGATAAAATGGAACTATATCGCACTGAAACTTATAAACAACTTCAACTACTTAATTTACTCGATGTTGTTATTGTAAGTAAAAGAAAAGAGAAACATCACATTTTGTTTATTCAATAGATGATTCACTTCGTAAAATAATGTAACTATTCATCATAGGAAGGTGGTGAAGGAACCGAATTTCTAAAGCGTTTGCAGGAAATTGAAAATAATGAACAACAACAAGAGAATTATAATCAAGAGGTACACATATTTGAAAAAGTGTTACATATATAAAGCATGAGCTAGAACACATATCTTATTTATGGATTTTCTCAACATCACTGTCTAGATTAGTTGCTAGTTCATTAATCTTTAATCGGAAAGAAAAATATTCACAATAGATTGCTCGCGAAAATCATATTATAATTTTGTCTATGAATTGCACTGATTTTAAAAGCATTTTGATGCAAACAATGATCACACTTAAGTTGAGTTGTAAACATCTGAAAATTTTCTTTTGTTCCGAAAACAAAAGCAATTTTAAAATTTTGCCATTGTAGTTTGTCACATGATTCAGTTCTATTGAAATTCTAACGGAAATTCTACCTACCATTTGAGTGTATATTGCTTTTACAAGAACAAAGGACTAGAACGATGAGTTTTATGTAATTGACATATTGATACATCAAACGAACAGATTTACTTTTGAACTGTCTTGGCTCATTTATTTTTGTTAATGTATACAAAGTCTTTGAAATCTCTCGTCGATTCCGTGGCTTGAAAACTCTACTGAGCTGGTTGCTTTCGGAGAAAAACAAGAAATAAATAAATTGCGTGATAGTTAGTAATGCAAAAGGTTTTATTAACATGAGCAATTTTTCTTTAGTTTAAAATCCCCAAAATAAACACTTTTGAAAGTCAAACAAATAATCTGAAGAACATTGAAGTATTCAAAAGCATTCATTCGTGAATCTTTTTGAAAACAATTGAGACATGCCAGCGATGAAACTTGATCGTGATGTTAAGAAAATACCTAGAGAAATGTGTATATGCCGGCTTTGCTGTAATACATCTTGTGAATTGTACTTACATATATAGTAATGATATCGGGAAAATTATTTATTTAATAAACATCACGTGTGTGCTTAATTAGTTTGCTTACAAAAAAACAACTAAAGAAAAGACAAGAAATTGTATTTGTTTTTCAACATTTGTTTTGTTTATTTTAGTCTCCGCGTCCACTTCGACAACAGAATTATGGTAATTAAATAAAACTTCATTGCCTTTTGTTTTTCTATGATAAATATCTGTAATTCAGGACGTAATCGCAATCCAGGTCAAACGCGCCGTTCACCAGAATCAACCGTTTCGTATGGTGCACCACCAACTTTGCGTGATTCCTCATCACCACCATTACCTAACACTACAAATACAACGCATCGAGCAAGTGTTATGATCACTGGAGGTGGAGGTGGAGGTGGTTATACATCACCTGACTATCCGAAGCCACGTACTCCCTATGAAGATAAAGTGGTTCCAACGTTAAGAAATCGAAATCGTCCCGATGGTGGAAATTTGCAAAATTCTCTAAATGCTAGTAATGATGCTGGAATACCGAATAATGACGAAACAGAAAGTTTATATGGTGGAAATGCAGCACAGAATGACGATGCAACTGCAGAATTAACTCCAGCTGAAATGATTGAAGCTAATCAAATGATGGTTGTTTTTGATAGACAATTGGTAAGAATGTATTTATTGAAAATTCGATGCATTGTAAATAGCTATAACTATCGTTTTCATCTAAATAAGTGTTTTGAAATTACATATTTTTTGATGGAATGTGATTTTCCGAGCTAAATAAGTTTTATCTGGAAAGTCCAAGTAGACCACAACAAAAATTGAGTGACTACATTCTAATTTTATCAAGTTTCAACCATTCCGATTTAGAAATAAATTCATGCATGCTAATTGAGAATGTCCCGTGCTGTCGTAAACATTGAAAAATAAATCATGTGCATAGTATATCAAGGGGGTCACATACTGACATTCATATTCTCTACCTCAACAAGGCAGTAAGCCTATCAAAATGATTTTAGTAAAGTGTTGCAATCAACTTCATATTCCTTCTTTGAATGTGTCAATAATCTGTCAGCGCCATGTATGAGTAGTAGAATAAAAGTCAATTAGATATTGTTGTTGTTACACCAGAAGTCTCTTTGATTTTTATAAGAAAATAAAAATTATTGATTGTGTTCTTCGGTTTCGTTTTTCACAGATTGGCAAACTTTATCATCGAAATCATGCTCGACGTGAAGAAGCTTTAGATGAAATCTACCAATTATTAAGTTCATTTTCTGGCGATCAAGAAGATGCTCGTGCTCATTTACGGGCTGGTAGTTTTGTTGTCGCACGAATGTTTCGTGTTGATGTTCTTGCAACATTTTCACATTCACTTAAACTTTTTCATTTACTGATGAATGATTATGTTCGAAAACATGCAATACAAAAACAAGATATTCTTGCTAGTTTAGAACGTGTTCTACCTGTATTATTACAACGTACAGGCGATTCGAATGCTCGTTTAAGACAAAAGGCACAAGAAACTATTATTGAATCTGCATCCTATCCTGAATTGAAGCCTTTACATATAATAACACATTATTGTGTTTTGCCCTTTAATAAAACATGTGCACCGAGATTAGCTATCAGTCGATGTGAACTTATTGAAGAATTAATGAGAATACTTGACGTTAAAACAGGTGACAATGGTTTAACTGTTGACAATGTTAGTAAATTTTGTGCACAAGCACTTGAACATAATGGTAATTTCTTATGATTTATAATTTCAATAGTTTGTCTATATTTTGTTTTTAAATTTAGCCGGTGAAGTACGAGAATTGGCTATCAAACTTTTACTTAGCTTATATAAAGTATAACCAAAAAGCAAAGCATACTTTTCAATAAATTTCTTTTTCTTTTTCTTGTCATATTTAGACACATGGAACAATCGTAAAACGTTATCTTCCACCTGATAATGAACAAACACGTCGAATAAAAAAATATCGAGATATATTTGATGCATTTGATAGAATGGACGGACGGCCTGTTAAAGGCGATGAAAAAGTATTGATTTTTAAAATCAAAATTAGTAAAAACCAATAAAACTAATTTATTTTTAGTCTTCGACGATTGATCCATCGGAAAGTGGAAGAAAACCAGGTGGTACTTCAGATACAGGAAAACGCGATACCGTAAAACAGCCGAACACAGCTCGTGAACAACAAAAATCGGTAATAGATTAATTTTCAAATTCGAAATGGATTTATTTTATATTTTATTTAGTTTGATGCCAAAGCATCGACTAGTAAATCTCGAACACCAACTCGACTCGATCGAAAAACACCAACGACTAGTGTGGCTGATGAATCTGAATTTACTCCAGAAAAGTACGTTAAGAAAAAAACACTTATTTCTACAACTCCTCGTCAGGCTATGATGTAGAATTGACGATGTTTTTGTCCCAAGAATAATCAATCTAGCGACAAATGATTTGTCACATTTAATACAGATAGTGTTCTTATTCCGTTACATTTACATAATTGCTCAGGAGCTCTGAAAAAGAATTTATAGTGTTCAATAATGGTTCGGTTTTATCTCCTTATTGACGAGTAGGAGTTTTTAAAACAACTATTTTCTTAAATATGAACCAATGTTAATAAAATTCTAAAAATTTAAAATTCATGTCAATCCAATGGATCTTTTTGTTTAGCACATGCATTTTTTGTGGTGAAAAGAATGAAGATTTTGTACGTGATGGTCTGGAACAGCACTATTGGGCTAATTGTCCCATGTTAAGAAGATGTCAAGAATGCAATCAAGTTTGTTTTTTAAGAGTTTTTTTTTATTCGGCCTTCTTATTTTTAATTAAATTTCAGGTAGTAGAAATAGGCATTTATATAGACCATTTATTACGTGAATGTGAAAAGAAAGGAAAATATCAGCAATGTCCTAGATGTACAGAAGCAGTTGGAAACGATTATGATGCTCATATTAAACTTAAAGAATGCCATGAAACTAAAGCAAACACAAATCGCTGTCCATTATGTCATATGAATATACCTGAAGGTGATAAACCATGGCGGGATCATTTAATGGGTGTTGATGGTTGTGTTAAAAACGCTCGACGCATCCAAGCATTAAAAAAGAGTAATTTTATAAATAGAGAAAAAAGCAAACACGATGATTCAATAAAATTCTCTCTTGTTTTTTTTCTTTTTCTCTTTAAGATAAGTATCCTCAACATCAACAACAGAAATCCGTTGTTGTCCCAACATCTCAAGTAAGTGTAATGAAAAAAACAACAACAGGCGGACAAAAGAAAGTGACAACAACAGTAAAATGAATGAATTTAATTCCCACGAACGATCTCATAATCATTCCTTCCATATGTTTCTGTTTAATACACATACTCTATTGTCCTCGTGTTCTTTATTCAAAATGACATCTATTCTGTTTTTTCATACCAACACATACCATCATTATTGTTTTGCTTTTATGGTGACGATTTCTCATTCTGAATATTAATAACGAAATTTTTCTTTCTTCTTTTCTTTCCTGTTCTTTTGTGTTTGAGGGCGGACTTTTTTTTGTTTGAAAAAAATGAGTGATCATTGTTATTACTTGGCATTTGCTGTACATATATATACTTTAAAATAATAAAATGTATTATAGATTGGGTTTATTTGTAGGGATCATGTAGGAAAGGTTGTATTTAAAAATTAGGAAATCCTTTTCGTATTTCTACAAGAATGATCTAATGCGTCGAACAGGGCATATATAAATTTGTGAATGTGAGCTGATAGAAACAATCGAGGCTTTTAATTGAATAGAAAGTGGAAGAGGACATTTTTTTTACACGATATCTTGTTTCATGTCGATTTCCATCAGTCAAGCAGCATTCTGTCAGTAGTTTTTAGAAATAGAAGTTCACAATCGTCTTGTTCTGCTGAATTTTTAGTTTAATAGGTGAAAATATTGTCAAACTAGGTCAACTATATCGTTGAATCTGTTCGTAAACGCCTTTATCTAGTCAAGATGCATGTTAATTATTTATGACTTGTCAAAAACTAGCCTGTTAAGCGGTGTTCATCCTTGTTGCTCCTATGAATCGTTTTGTTTTCTGGCTTTAATTTTATGCTGAAAAAGAGGCAAAAATATGCATACATGCTATATAGTTTCGATTCTGATCGGGTCAATAGATCCTCCAACCCTTTTCATATGTCACAAGAAACTTTAATAGATTTAAACCGAGTGACACTAAATACTGACCTAAAACAAATTCAAAGATTATGTGTTTCTTTCAGAACGAATGAATATTAAAATTTTGCCCCTAAGAAACATACTATACATAATTAATTAAAAATTCGCTAACGCGATGACATTGCAATTCAGAAGCCAGAAAGTTTTTTTTATTAGTTTCGCTTAATATTTGTTATATTCATGAGAAATATTTGTTCTTTTTTGTTTTTCTCATTGCCAAGTGATATAATTTCTGATTCAATGATGATAAAACATGATATCTATTGCGTCAGTTCATTAAAAAAATGTGTTTCTATTGAGACGTTATGTCTGACGACCAGCTTCATCAATTAGAACAGTATCTACTTCCATGTAGAAACCTCTCATTAAATATTTAAAGAACGTCTTTTTTTTCTAATGAATGAAGTATATGCCCTTGAAACGACATGCTATCGAATATTCCTTAAAAAGAAATTGTATGCTTGTTGGTGACAATTAAAAAAGACTGTTATATCATAGAATTATGGAATGTTTAATTATGTAAATTATGTCTGGCAGAAAAGACTTTGAAAATATTCAGCATTTTTGAAAGAAGATAGAAAGAGATTGAAATAATTTTGGAGCTGATTCTCCGATACTATTTAGTATTTCTGAGCAGCAACTCATTGATAAACACGGAAGACACATGAGAGATTTGCCTCAAGACTGTCTAGCCTTAGCAAAGGGAGAGTAATTATCGCTATTGAGAGAGAAGCATTGAAAAAATTTTAATATATTATCCAAAAGGAGATCAAGTACGAACTATGCGCCAAGCTTTCATAAATACACCAAGTAATAAAATGTATCCTACAGAATATGAATCTAAAGTGCACGCATGTGTTCAAATTTTAAAGTCAGCAAACTTGTCTAATCAAGTATCAGTTTCATAGGCTATCTCTGTGTGGAATCCGACGATCATAATTCGTTTTATAATTTCAAGTCAACTGAATTTAGCCTTTACTAAAAATTGTTTCAATGTAACTTTTACAGACATAGAAATTCAGTTTCAACGGTGATGCATATTCTTTAAAGGTAACGTGCATCAAGATCAAAAATCGAGCAGGTGAAAACTTTCTTTTATTATTATATGGTTGGATAGAGAGCTTGATGAGTAGATCATGAATATCATCTTTAAAATATTTCTAGGCTTTCGTTTTGGTTGAGAAATTTTCAAAATACAAACTGCCCCTGAAACAGCGAATATTTCACTTTTTTCGAGAAAACTCGAAATTTACCTAGTTTAACAATGTTCCAGCTGTAGAAAACTATCATCATCGAAGTCAGCATGAAAATCTGAATCTACTGATGTAACTTTGGCGAATGAAAAGCATAACTTTCATGTTTGAGGAGCTTAACTAGATCTCCATGTAAACACAGTGAAATTGATGTCTCTCAAAATCATCAACTATTTTTTTCAAAGCGATTCTCGGACTTTCTTACGTCATTCGAACCGCCAAGTGATAGCAAACAAAAGTATATATTCAGTTTGAAAAATATTGTTCCTCCTCTGAGAAAATCGGTTTTTACTAGATCAGTGACTAAAGTTTACAGGATTGCTCTCTTATTTCGATGTTTTGGTTATCAAAACTCAACTTGCATGCAACATAAACATCAAATTCAGAATCAGCACAAAAAACAGCAACAACTATCATAAATTTTATCAAAAAATAATTTTATCAAAATTCCAGGCTCCTACTGACCCCCAGTCATTTTTTTTCTTGATTTTACCCTGTAAGTCCCCCACTGGTAAAACTTTTATGAGAATTATTTTT